CCGGGGCGCTCTGCTCTGACAGCGACGAAAATCCCGGGATATTTGTGCCACGGAGTCTGCCGCTCTTTTATTTCAATAGATCCCGACGAGGGCAGATCGTTTCCTAGTGTGCAGGTACACAGCGGGCTGTTCCCCGGAGGGCTCCGAGGGTCCCCGGGGGTCTCTGCGGTGGGGAGATGGGCACAGGGAGCTCCCTCACGAGGGGCAGCTGCCGGAGAGGCTGGGATGCGGCGGAGCAGGGCGAACAGGAGCCATGCATGATTGATGGCCTTAATCCCTGGCCGACCTCTAAGCAGAGGTGCTGCGGGTTAAACACCCACGGCCGGGGGTCTCCGGAACTGCCGTGGAGAGTGCTCGGGCTCTCCGGGACGCGGGGCAGTCCCGGTTCGGGACAGGGCCGCTGATCCCCTGCTCGGGTCTACGCTGACTGCAAACTGTCCCTTCCAGCAGCCGCGGGCATCCGGCTCCTCTGTGCCTGCAGCCAGGGGAAGGTGCCGGGCTCTGACAGGGGCGTCAGAGCGGCACAAGGGGTTCGGCTATTTTGCCGAGCACGCGGTGATGTCGCCTTCACAAACAAACGTGTATCGAGAGGGAAATCGATGCAGATAATGTTTAGAAGATTAAAAGAGCATTAATGCTGGCAACAGGAGCATCAACGCGTGGACCCAGTTTTCATTGATCTGGAACCTGAGCCGGCTCATTTCCAGTAACGTGGCTGGTGCTTTTCCTTCCCAGCACTGGTCCCGGGTGGGGGTTCCCCGTGGAGCCCTGCACATAGAGCAGAAAATCAGGAATCACAGCTGCATGCACAGTTATGCCTGTAAAATTCTGGCTCTCTGCTTTACCAGGCCCCCTGAATGCCTCAGCATCCGGGAGTAAAGTTTGGAGAGAGCTCAGGTGCTAAGTGGCCATGGACTCCCCATGGGGCGGGAAAGACCTTTGCAAATTACCTTTCCCTTCAGGAAATCGATTATTTTAATTTCCTTTTATTACCACGTGTGAATATGCGGCCCCATTGCCTCAGTGCTTCCTTCTCCCCCTTCGCTCGCTTGCTTAAATCCCCCTGAGCATGGGGAAAAAGCCACAAGTATTTCAGATTTTTAAAAACCAAAAAATACCCACCAGGTACCCACCCCAAGTGGGGTAAAATCTGCTGTCCTTGAAGGCAAATCCCCCTCTCCCTGTGGGAGCAGTGGCAATGCGGGTGTGATCAGTATTTTTTTATTATTATTATAGATGTCTAGTGTTGTCTATCCTAATCCAATGCCGTGTTATTATTTCTGTGCTCATTGTCTTTTCTCGGGGGTCTGTAGGAGCCCGAGGTGGGGAGCGGCACGGGGC